ATTCTTAATGATGGGCTCCCACTACGATATTGCAACTTTTTGTAATAAAATGTTTATACTACATCAAATCCGAAGAAATACACCTAGGCTGCTATCGGGCCTGTTGTGCGCTCCTTATCATGAAAAAAGTTCACTGAATGAATTATTTTTCAGTGTTCAGAAACTCAGTTTCCAGTAACTCAGTAATTCATAAGAATCTTCCAATCAATGTTAGTCAGGAATGTTATTTCCGGAATAACATCACTTCCAAGATACTCGGATCTAACTTCGACGAATGCCAATGGCAATGGCAAAGAAAGTGCTCCAGAGTTTCACTGTCCTCTCTACATGCTCTACATTTGTCTGAACCAACAGTCTAATTTTGCATAGATGTGTTCGTAATGTGTGTCCACTCAGAATACTTACAATCATACTAACTTCAGACATGCTCATTTTGAGGAGATTTCTTGTCTTGCTCTCATCAGGGTTACCCCATAGGATCATCGTGGTTCTACCCACTGTTTCATTATTCCAAGAGGCCTTATGGGATTCTCTCATCCATATTTTTAGTTTAGCTTTTGTTGCGTCGAATGGTTTTCCGTTTGTCAGGTTAACTGCTTCGAGCTCCTTTCCCTTTAAAGCTATTACATTCGTCCTTTCGTTGCCGACTTCTCCCGAGTGGGCTGGTACCCATATAATGTAAACCTTACCTCTGGGAGAGTATTCAGTTAAAGCTTTCTTACAATCCAATAGGTCTTCGATTTAGTTCTATCACCTGATATCGCCCTAATTGCCTTCTGGGTGTTGGTAAATATATTAAGCGCTATGGGCGCCATATTTATTATAATCCAATTTACGCATTCCGTTATTGCTCTTACTTCTGCCTGGAAGCTTGTGTTATGTTTTGATAAAAGGTGGTATATTTCCGTTTCTGGGTTTTCAATATAGAACCCCAGCCCCAATTTAGAGCCATCCGTGTAACAACGGATTCCTACTGGTATTTTCTCTAATGTTCCGCTTGACCAAGACATTATATCTGGGATCAGCGTTTCAAAGTTTCCGACATATTCTGTGTCTGGTATACGATCAGGCACGTCCGATGATTGTGTAAAACCTTCCAATGTGTCCAGTATACATTGATGACGTGTCTTATAACCGCTTTTGGATAGTTCGCCTAAAGAGCCGTTCGGCTGTAAGCGCCGCCTCATTTCTTAAGTATGTTTCTTGGTTGAAGTATTACATATGGCACCACTTATACCCAAGCAGCATGTACGCTGAACTCCCTGTAGTAGTTTGATATTGCACTTTTTGTCTAAAGCAGTCCACCAGATTATTGAAGCATAATCTAGAATTGGTCTAATTACACTTTTATAAAGCCAATTTGTCATAGTAGGACTAAGACCCCATTTCATGCCTATAGTTCTTCTACATATCGCCCAGCACCGATGTGACTTGTTGATCCTATCCTCTATGTGGTGTCTCCATTTTAATTTCCGGCCGAGGATTACACCTAAGTACTTAACTTTGTCTGTCACTGGTATCTTCTTGCAAAGGAAGCAATTTTTGTCTTTCTTGTAAAAAGACAGATTTCCGTCTTCGCCTGAGGAAGACGGCCTCTCGGTTGAGCCCATCTCAAGGTCGTATTCAGAGCCTCCTCAGCTCTTCTACACAAGTAATTTGGATCCTTTCCCTTTAAAAGTATTACGACATCGTCTGCATAGCAGACAGGTCTAAGTCCTTTCTCGGTTAGGGTCCTTAGGAGGCTATTAGTAGTGGTAACCCAGAGTAGAGGTGACAAAATGCCACCCTATGGTATACCGCGAAATACCTTTTTCCTGATAGTTATATCGTACATCTCGCAGCTTATCCATCTGTTCCTTAGCATGTAGTTGATCCAGTTGCGGAGCACCCGGTCAACATAAAACTGGTCTAGGGATTGGATAAGAGTATCAGTGTGCACGTTAATAAAGGCGCCTTCGATGTCAATGCATACCGCCAGTGTATACAGTTTGCTATCAAAGTATGCACTTATGTAGTGGACAACTTCGTTTAAAGCGGTTTCTACCGATCGTCCCTTTACATAAGCATGCTGCTTATATTTAAGGTCTTTGTCTGGTATACTGCTTTTAACCATACTATCGACTAACCATTCCAAGGTTTTAAGTAGGAAGGATGTAAGACTTATCGGTCGATAGGACTTAGGTGTCGCAAAGCTAGGTTTTCCTGGTTTGGGTATAAATATTACCCTTGCATCCTGCCATTTTCAATGTCTACTACTTACCGTCTGCATTACTTAGAAGTACTCTAGTAATGACTTTCTTATAATCTGATATAGAAGTACTTTATTTTCGGCTTTGTCATTTTGTTTGTGTTTTACAAAAAATAAAACAAAATTAGTTTTGTATGAAAACCATTATTTGACGCGCAATAAAATAGCTAAGCAGTGGTGCAGTGTGTAGAACATTTGACTAACAAACCGAAGTCCCTGGTTCGTATTCTAGCTGGCTCTTTTTATTATTAAAAAACAAAACAACTTACTCAACAACTGTTTTGTAAGAGAAATTGCAAGTACTTCTTTAACTCCCTATTTGTAAGCGTGCGTAGAAGTACTTGCATCCAATGACATCCATCAATGAAGAAGTAGTGAAAAGAGGTTTTATTAGCTTTTTAACTCATTACTTTTCAATGTAAGTTTTTCCTGGGTATGGAAACCAGTCCCGCCTCCATCTGCAAAAGTGCCGGTATTTTTAATCGACACCTTTCCAATTTTCGAAAGCACTGAATATGACAGCTTTAGAGGCGAAAGAAGCCCTACCTTTATTCTTGGCAAGCCTAGCCATGGAATTCTTGTCGATACCTGTTATAAATAGAGTTTCCTCAGGTTCTTCTTTCATGTAAAAGACATCCCATTTTTCCACAGCCAGCTCAGCATTTTGACCTCCAAAAATTTCCAGTATACGTTCATTAACCAGTTTAGAGATACTTTCCACCAAGTTCTTTAGGGGGCTAACACATTGGTGAGATGCCAACCAATGCCCTTACGATTGCGTGGTCCACTATCTTATTGTTCATCAGATCTTCTACCTTACTCTGCTGGTCTATTGGAATTTTGCCTATCGGATTGCCGGCTGCATAGCAGAGATCGTCCCGGTGTCTGGTCTGGCAACTTTGGAGTAAGATGGCGTATTAGAAGACGGGGAGCTCTTTTTCTTCTTAGGTTTATTCTCAGTAGTCAACTCTACGGGAGACCTGATCCTCTTTGCCTCAGATCTTGTGAGAGAGTCCGATTTTTTCTTAGGAGTGTCGTGGGATTGACTAACTATGATATCCTGAAGCATCTTTTTCAACTTCCTCCTCTGCGCACCAGATAGTCTTTTCTTAGTAATAGGTAGTTTAACTATGCTATCACTTACCTCTTTCACCATTTGATCTACTTCATCCTTCTTGGGATTTGCTATAATGGTGTTGTTATTATTATCTGAGGATTCAGAGTCGGAACCCTCACCTATGTTTAAAGGCTGAGGTAGCTTAGAGCTCTCTCCGAGTACATCTTCTCTTTCACTCCTATATTTTTGCCAATGGCATGATGTGCACTTGACGCATTGTCCGCCACGGAGGCCAAGGTACCCTCCGTAGTAGTATTTTGCTCACGATTGCAGGATAACGACAACACGTGACTCGCGAGTGGATCAACACTTGCTGCCGGTACTGGGTTATTTAGGCCCTGCACCGTAACTTTTATCTTTTTATACCCACCATCAAAAAAGATGAGGGTATATTGATTTTGTCATTCCTTTTGTAACACATCGAAATATTGGTCATAGACCCACAAAAGTATATATGTTCTGGGTCCTTATTAAGTTCTAAGACAATCTATCCATGTCTGTCTGTCTGTCTGTCTGTCTTTAATGGGCATATCTGTTTCAAAAGTACGAGTATAGTGATGAAATTCGACATAAATAAGTTTCATATGATCCAAAATCTCCCTACCAAATTTTATGAGGATCGGTCCATAATTGACCCTACCCCCATATAACGCCCCCTTCAAAAAATTGTTTAACGCTCATTACATAAATACTAGTATAACAATGAAATTTGGATTAAGTAAGTCTCTTATGATCCAAAACTTCTTTACCAAATTTTATGTTGATCGGTCCATAATTGACCCTACCCCCATACAAGGTCCCCTTCAGAAAATTACTTTAACGCTCATTAATGGCTTAAAAATACGAGTATAGTGATAAAATTTAACACACATAAGTATCATATGATCCAAAATCTCCCTACCTAATTTTATGTTGATCGGTCCATAATTGACTCTATCCCCCATATAAGGTCCCCTTCAGAATATGACTTTAACGCTCATTTCTGGCTTAAAAATACGAGTATAGTGATGAAATTCGACACACATAAGTTTCAATGGATGCAAAATCTCTCTATCAAACTTTATGTGGATCGTTCCATAATTGATCCTACTCCCCATTGCCCTTCAAAAAATTACTTAAGCGATCATTAATTAAATTAATTAAAAAAGTAAATTTTTTTTGTCACATTTCGAATTTATGTGCTGTGAGACACGTTAATGGCCTGGGGAGTTTGCAATAACTTTTAAAGTTTTCAAGCTATTTTTGTGTTTTATATCTTTCTGAAATGCTTACTCTGTGTACATTACGATTCCTTTGCAATAAAGTTCAACATTTATTGCTAAATGGCCAAATTTGAGCAAAAACTGAAAAAATCGATATTTTCCCCTTGTAAATGCACTTGGAAACTTCAAAGCCGTTGCGACACCTGTTAACGTTATCCAATCAGCCTAATTTTTTTTATGACATAGCTATACATATAGAACAATTCTTGAGGGGGGGACGGCCTGTCAGATACATTTTTTTTCCTTCATACAAGCTTGAATCACTCTAATACATATGTATATAAAAAATGTCGTGTTATGATACCTTAAATGGGGTATTAAGTTATATGTATGTATGTATTTAATTTAAAATAATTTTTTATATTGTTTTCAGTTCCACCAACTCTTCGAGCCCTTCCACATAATGGACAAGTTACCGCTAGAAAGGGAAGTACTGTTACACTTGAATGTAAAGCCTCCGGTAACCCTGTACCGACTATTTTTTGGTTTAAAAAGGACATGTTTTCTGGTCCTACACATCTCTCAGATAGCTCAACTTTAATTCTTGAAAATGTTGATAGACACCATGCTGGTATATACCAATGTTCGGCAGATAATGGAGTAAAGGAAAGAGTTTCGATGGATATTCAACTCACAATATTATGTAAGTTAATTATTATTAAAAACTAAAAAATAATTTTTATTAAAATATGTTTATCTCAAGATTAGTTGTTACATTATGCATCACTACTAACAATTGGTTAATAAAGTAATAAATCATCCAAAGCATTTAACTCCGGTACGTCAAACTGACTTTGAATGTTATTGTAATTAGCTGGACCTTAAATGTTGTTTTCAAAAGTTGACTTTATATGGGTCTGATCAGGAAATTATAAATTTCTTATTTGAATTTTATCACGGACATAAAAGGAAATAAAAACAAGTTAGAAGTCTATATTCGCCTTTGCCGAATCTTATATACCCTTCACCATAGTGTATTTAAACAAGTTAGAGTGCTATATTCTGCTGAGCCTAGTCTTAAATACACTCTACCAGCAACTTTTATATTAATACTATTTTAATTGATCAAATATTTGTAGAAATAAGTTTTCTCAAGCTTTTTAATAGAAAAACCCCAGCATTTAAACAGCATAAATCTGTTACATTTGCAAGATTTATTGAATATTACAGACACCATTTTCTTTTATATTTTTATAGCGCTCTAAGTTATGCTTTAGCGATATTTAATAATTTGCATGAATGCATGTGTGTGAACGATATAAGGAATTTAAAATATGTACCATACATATGTACACTAGGGTTATGACTTTTTGCAATTTTTGCAAACATCAAAAATACCATAGCAAGAGCATGTAGGGCGTGAACAGATGTTAAGGAATCGATCGTGAAAAAGTTCCCGCACCGAAGGCGATGAAGTTTTGTATAAATTTTACTTTTTCTATATGAAAACAAGAAAGTATAGTCGGGCTTGGCCGACCATATGATACCCTACAGCAGTTATGAATATTAACTGTGATTTATTTTTCATTATAAAGCATTTATCTTGACCTTGATTCTGATTTATTTAAGCAATTTATTGATGAAAAACTTTTTCTAAATTCCCACTAAAGTGGTGTAGGGTATAAAAATAAATATTTTTGCAAAAATTTTTGCATTTCTGTTACATTATCTTAAAGAGAGCATTGTTCTTTAAATCCTTGTTATGGACATTTTTACAAATTGCGATAATATTGCATGTTATAGAAAATAGTATATTTATGAAAACTAGCTATATCCAGTGTGATTCGCTACCCTCATCGTAATGGAATACAATAAATATTATTATTGTAAATGTATATACATATACATATCTGCAATATCAAAAAGTCCCCTTTTATATAAGTTTGACTTTATAATTCTAGTCTCAATATTACAGAAGTACGAATAAGTACCAGGCAGTGCCTTTTTATAGATTTAAATTAAATTAGGATGATCCATGTTTGATTTTCAACCAGAAATTCCTCGCATACAGATTTTTATACAATCAGGAAGCTTCGTGTCCAATTTTATGTTTTTAGGTTCAATATTATAGAAAATTCGAAAAGTATTAGTAAAAGAACCAGAAAGTAACCTTTTTAAATTTTCATTCAATCAGGATACTGTGTGTTTAATTTTATGTTTATATATTCAATATTTTAGTAAACTCAAAAGTAGTAGATGAAATACGAAAAAATACCAAAAGACCTCTTTTATTTAATTTCATGTTTCTAAGTTCAATATTATAGAAAATTCAAAAAGTACCAGTTAAAAAACGAAAAACTACCAGAAAATACTCCAATTTAAACTTTCATTCACTCAAGTCCCTGATTGCTTAGTTTTATGTTTTTAGGTTCAATATTATTATTGAATTCAAGTAGTACCAGTTGAAGAACGAAAAAGTACCAAAAAGTCCCGTTTTATATGTTCTCACTTACTCCCTACATGTTTAATTTCATATCTATAGGTTCACTATTATAGAAAATTCAAAAAGTCCCTTTTGAAGAACGAAAAAGTACCAAAAATTCTCCTTTTATATTTCATCACTTACTCAGGGCGCTACATGCTTAATTTTATGTTTCTAGGTTTAATATTATAGAAAATTCAAAAAGTACCTTTTGAAGAACGAAAAAGTACCAAAAAGTCCCTTTTATTAGGTTATCACTTAATCCGGACTCTACATGTTTATTTTTATGTTGCTAGGTTTAATTTTATAGACAACTCAAAAAGTACCAGTCGAAGTACGATAAAGTTCTAAAATGTCCCCTTTTATAGATTCTCATTTACTCCAGGCTCTAACTGCTTAATTTCATGTTTCTAGATTCAATATAATAGAAAACTCAAAAAGTACCTTTTGAAGAACGAAAAAGTACCAAAAAGTCCCCTTTTATAGGTCCTCACTTAATCCGGGCTCTACATGCTTAATTTCACGTTTCTAGGTTCAATATTATACAAAAACTCAAAATGTACCTTTTGAAGAACCAAAAAGTCCCCTTTTATAGGTTTTCACTTAATCCGGGCTCTACATGCTTAATTTCATGTTCCTAGGTTTAATATTATAGAAAATTAAAAAAATTCCTTTTGAAGAACGAAAAGGACCAAAAAGCCCCCTTTTATAGATTCTCATTTACTCCGGGCTCTACATGCTTAATTTCATGTTTCTAGGTTTAATTTTAAAGAAAACTCAAAAAAGTACCTTTGTTCCAAAAAGTTGCAACATCGTATTGGGAGGGGAGACCCTTATTATGCATTCATATGTATAAGTTAATAAACCAAAAACAATGTTTTATGGAAAAAGTACCAAAAATAGGTACAATTTTCACCCCTTAAAAGTCCGAATATCCAAAAAGTTATGAAGGAGCCAAAAATATTTTTTGAATGTTCTCTGGTATAAAAGATGCATGGGGTGCAAAAAAGTACCAAAATACAGTTTTTACCCGTTTATTCCCTAAAGGGGCCGAATTTGAAAAAAGTACCAGACACCTGTCCGCTTATTTTTTAAATGAACGACGATAAGCTTTAAACTGTTTTTGTATCTTTAATAGTTTAGGAGATATGAGGTTACCGAATTTACCCGTTTTTACCCCCTGAACATTCGATTTCCAAAAATCCCGTCTTATTGGATCTATTTGGTGGGAGACCAACCTCCTGTCCAAATTTCAGCTCTTTAGCTTCAACCGTTTAGGCTGTGCGATGATGAATCAGTCAGTCAGTAACGCGGCTTAAAAACCCCTTTTAAACGATACCTCATATTGAATATATTGTTTCGAAACAAAACTAACATCTAAAACAAATAATTCAAAAATAGCTTCTTTAAATTTGGTCCAGCTCACGAACTGCCATCGCTAGACCTAAAATATTTTGGAAATCATTATAAAACAAAGCAACGTAATTATTGAGAGAGGTAACAAAAACACGTTATTGGTTTCCATACAGTACATGTACATTAGGGTATGACTTTTCTTGGGCGGCAAAATAACATAGCACTGCCTTATAGCTAATACTGTCCTGATAATATAAGGCAATTTTATAAATCAATTCGGTCAAAAAACTTCCCGCACCAAAAGCAATTTCCAAAATGCTTTCGTTCGTTATTTTTGAAAACTTATTTTAATAATCTATCTATCTATCTATATATCTATCTATCTATCTATCTATCTATCTATCTATCTATCTATCTATCTATCTATCTATCTATCTATCTATCTATCTATCTATCTATCTATCTATCTATCTATCTATCTATCTATCTATCTATCTATCTATCTATCTATCTATCTATCTATCTATCTATCTATCTATCTATCTATCTATCTATCTATCTATCTATCTATCTATCTATCTATCTATCTATCTATCTATCTATCTATCTATCTATCTATCTATCTATCTATCTATCTATCTATCTATCTATCTATCTATCTATCTATCTATCTATCTATCTATCTATCTATCTATCTATCTATCTATGTATCTATCTATGTATCTATCTATCTATCTATCTATCTATTATCTATCTATCTATCTATCTATCTATCTATCTATCTATCTATCTATCTATCTATCTATCTATCTATCTATCTATCTATCTATCTATCTATCTATCTATCTATCTATCTATCTATCTATCTATCTATCTATCTATCTATCTATCTATCTATCTATCTATCTATCTATCTATCTATCTATCTATCTATCTATCGATCTATATATATAAAATTGCCTTATATTTCGAAACAAGATATTCAATATGAGGTATCGTTTAAAAGGGGTTTTTAAGCCGCGTCTAATGATGTATTATCATTAATAACCGTCTGCTCATAATAGTCGTATTCTAAAAATTTTAAATTTTAGGTTTTTCATTAATATAAATAAAATTTATGCACAATTTTCAAAATTTTGCACACCTCTAGACGCGGTTTAAAAAACCTTTCAAAAAAAAACTGTAAAATTTAAAAAAATAACTAAAAAGGTCGTTTTTGGTAACCGGTCCACGAACGGCCATCGATAGACTAAAAATATTTTGGAACCATCATAAAACAAAAAGATTTTTTGAAGCTGGGTAAAATTTTGAATTGAACATGAAAAATCGTGTCCCCCACAGGATATTATCTTGAAAACTGTCCAGCTCACGAACGGACAACACTAAACACAAAATATTTTGGGTAACATAATTTACATAACAGCGAATATTTTGAGGGGGGTAACTCAAGCACCATTTTTTGTGAGTCGGTCTAATGTATATTGTTGTACAAAAATTGTTTATACTAAACTAATTTTTTTAAAGATAAATGCGGTAAAGTTATTTTCGGGATAGGATCAAGAGTAGGACATATGATCAATTATATACCGATCGTAAAAAATTGTTACAGTAATATTTCTGTATATATGTAAGAGCAATACTTGAGCCAAATTTTATATACATATATATCTTAATTTAGTAATGAGTTAAGTGCGTTTAAGTGATTTTCGGAAGGGACCTTGTATGGGAGCTATGAACAATTATGGACCGATCCAGAAATTTTTTTTGTACAAATTCTATTGACATTTTAATTTGTAAAATTTCGTGAAGATATCAACATTCTGACGTAAGTTGTTAACAATAAACTCATTTTCCGGGAATATGTA